CGGCTCCCGCCGTCTCCCTCGCGCTCTCCTGTCAGGCCTCCCGCTCTTTTTCCGTCTGCTGTCTGGCCACAAACTCTTTTAACGGACTGCTGTTTCCTTTTGCCCCCCCATTTCATCCTCTGCCCCTTTTTAAGCCTCCCTCTGGCCTTGCCTCCCCCCCTTTTTTGGCCTCCTCCTGCACCGTGATATCCACTTTTTTAAAGCCTCCCCTTGCCCCTTTTTCTGGCCTCGCCACCCTTTCTCAGCGTTACTCGCCTGTTGTGGCCCCCTCTGACACCCACCCCTTTGGATCCCCCTCTTTTTTGGCCCCATCCACTCTGTGGCCCCACCGTCCTCTCAACCTCCCACTGCCCAGTGGCCACCACCCTGGACCTACTGGCCGCCTCTTCACCACTGGCCTTCCTCTCACCTCCTCCTCCAGCCTTCCCCACCTTCAGCATCCCCCTGTCCTCCAGCCTTGGGTGGGAAGCCAAACAGGGGCAGGAGGACAATAAGAAAGTAGAGGCCAAAAAGGAGTGGGAGACTGAACAAAGATGGGAGGCCGACATGAAAACAAGAGGCCAAAAAGGAGTGGGAGGCTGAACAAAGATGGGAGGCCGACATGAAAACAAGAGGCCAAAAAGGAGTGGGAGGCTGAACAAAGATGGGAGGCCGACATGAAAACAAGAGGCCAAAAAGGAGTGGGAGGCTGAACAAAGACGGGAGGCCAACATGAAAACAAGAGGCCGAAAAGGGGTGGGAGGCCAACAAGAAAGTAGAGGCCAAAAAGAGACGGGAGGCCAAAATGGAGTGGGAGGCCAACGTGGAGTTAGAGGCTGAAATGGGGTGAGAGGCCAGCCAGAAATTAGAGCCTGAAAAACTGTGGGAGGCTAAAAAGCAGTGGGAGGCTGAACAAGGGCGGGAGGCCTAAAATGGTTCGGAGGCTGACAAGAAAATAGAGGTCAAAAAGGCGTGGGAGGCCAAACGTGTGTGGGAGGCTTAAAAAGTTTGGGAAGCCAACATGAAAGTAGAGGCCAAAAAGCAGTGGGAGGCTGAGAAGGGGTTGGAGGCCAAAAAGAGGTGGAATGTCAACATGAAAGTAAAGTCCAAAAAAGGACAGGAGTGGGGTGGAAGGCTGCAAAGAAATTAGAGGCTTCAAAGGGGTGGGAGACTGAACAAGGGTGGTAAACCACAATGGAGTGGGAGGCCGAAATGGGATGGGAGGCCAAAATGAGGTGGGAGGCCAACAGGAAAGAAGAGGCTGAAGAAGTATTGGGAGGCTGAAAAGGGGTGCAAGGCTGAGCAAAGGTGGGAGGCCAAAAAGGGGTGGGAGGCTGACAAGAAAGTAGAGGTCGAAAACTGGTGGGAGGCCGAAATGGGGTAGGAGGCCAAAAAATGAGTGGGAGGCCGAACAAGAAAGTAAAGGCTGAAAAGGGGTGGAAGTCTGAAAGCTGGCAGGAGGCCAAAATGGGGAAAAAGGCCAATAAGAAAGTAGAGGCCAAAAAGGGGTAGGAGGCCACCAAGAAAGTTGAGGGTGAAAAGGAGTGGGAAGCTGAAAAATGGTGGGATGCCAATAGGAAAGTAGACGCCCAAATAGGGTAGGAGGCCAAAAAGAAGTGGGAGGCCGAACAAGGGTGGGAGGCCGAAAAGGGGTGTGAGGGGAACAAGAAAGTAGAGGCTGAAAAGGGGTGGGAGGCCAGTACGACAGTAGAGGCCGAAAAGGTGTAGGAGGCCAAAATGGGGTGGGCGGCCAACAAGAAAGTAGAGGCCAAAAAGGGGTGGGAGCCTGAAATGGGGTGGAAGGCCAACAAGAAGGTAGAGGCTGCAACAGGGTGGGAGACTGAACAATAGTGGAAGGCCATAACAGGGTGGGAGGCCAAAATGGGATGTGAGGCTGAACATAGGTAGGAGGCCGAAAAGGGGTGGGAGGCCGACAAGAAAGTAGAGTTCAAAAAGGGCTGGAGGCCAAAAAGGGGTATAAGTCTGAAGTGGGACACTGACCAGAAAGTAGAATCCAAAAAAGGATTGGAGGTTGACAAGAAAAAAATGATAGAAAGGGGTGGGAGTCTGTAAAACATTAGGGGGCTGAGCAAGGGTGGGAGGCTGAAAGGGGGTGGGAGGCTGAGAAGAAGGTAGAGGCTGAAAAGGGATGGGAGGCCAAAAGGGGGTGGGAGGCCGAACAAAGGTGGGAGGCCAAACAGGGGTGGGAGGCCAACAAGAAAGTAGTGGCAGATAAGCAGTGGGAGGTTGAAAAGGGGTGGGAAGCCAACAGGAAAGTAGAGGCGGAAATGGGGTGGGAGGCCAAATAAGTTTGGAAGGCCAAAAAGTGTTGGAAGGCCAACAAGAAAGTAGAGGCTGAAAAGGGATGGGAGGCTGAACAGAGGTGGGAGGCCAAAAACGGGTGGGAGGCCAACAAGAAATTAGAGACCAAGAAAGTATGGGAGACTGAAAAGTGTTGGGAAGCTGTAAAAGCGTGGGAGACGGACAAAAAAGTAGAGACTGAAAAGGGGTGGGAAGCTGAACAGAGGTGGGTGGCCAAAAAGGTACGGGAGGCCAACAAGAAAGTAGAGGCCAAAAAGGGGTGGGAGGACGAACAAGTTTGGAAGGCCAAAAAGTGTTGGAAGGCCAACAAGAAAGTAGAGGCTGAAAAGGGATGGGAGGCTGAACAGAGGTGGAAGACCAGAATGGAGTGGGAGGCTGAGCAAGGGTGGGAGGCTGAAAAGGGGTGGGAGGCTGAGAAGAAGGTAGAAGCTAAAAAGGGATGGGAGGCCAAAATGGAGTGGGAGGCTGAACAAGGGTGGGAGGCCAAACAGGGGTGGGAGGCCAACAAGAAAGTAGTGGCAGATAAGCAGTGCGAGGCTAAAAAGGGGTGGGAGGCCAATAGAAAAGTAGAGGCGGAAATGGGGTGGGAGGCCGAAAACGGGTGGGAGGCCGAGAAGAGGTAGGAGGCCAAGGAGAAAGTAGAGGCTGGAAATGGGTGGGAGGCCAACAAGAAATTAGAGGCCAAAACCAGGTGGGAAGCCAACAAGAAAGTAGAGGCCTAAAAGAGGTGGGAGGCCAAACATGGGTAGGAAGCCAAAAAAGAGTGGGAGGCTGTACAAGGCTAGGAGATAGAAAAGGAGTGGGAGGCCAACGGGAAAGTAGAGGCCAAAAAGGGTTGGGAGGCTGAACAGAGGTGGAAGGCTGAAAGGGGGTGGGAGGCCAACAGAAAAGTAGAGGCCAAAACAGTGTGGGAGACCAGAATGGAGTGGGAGGCTGAGCAAGGGTGGGAGGCTGAAAAGGGGTTGGGAGGCTGACAAGAAAGTAGAGTTCAAAAAGGGCTGGAGGCCAAAAAGGGGTATAAGTCTGAAGTGGGACACTGACCAGAAAGTAGAATCCAAAAAAGGATTGGAGGTTGACAAGAAAAAAATGATAGAAAGGGGTGGGAGTCTGTAAAACATTAGGGGGCTGAGCAAGGGTGGGAGGCCAAAAAGGAGTGGGAGGCCAACAAGAAAGTAGAGGCCAAATAGGGGTGGAGTCCGAATAATGGTCAGAGGCCAAAACGGCGTTCGGAGGCCGAAAAGAATTGGAAGGCTAAAAAGAACATAGAGCACAAAAAAAGTTGAGAGGCTGAAAAGCAATGGGCAGCCAAAAAGAAAAGCAGAGGCCAAAAGGGAGTGGGAGGCCAAACAAAGGTGGGAGGCTGAAAAGGGTTAGGAGGCTGAAGAGGGGTTGGATGCCAACACAAAAGAAGAAGCTGAAAAGGGGTGGGAGGCTGAAAAGACATAGGAGGCCAACACAAAGAAGAGGCTGAAAAAGGGTGGGAGGCCAAAAAGGGGTGGAAGTCCAAAAAAAGCATCTACTTGTCCTTTTTGTCGTCCTTTATCCTCTGCTTTCTTGTCAGCCTCCCACACCATTTTGGCCTCCCATCCCTTTTCGGCCTCACAGCTTTTTTCAGCCTCTACGTTCTTGTTGGCCTCCCACACCTTTTTGTCCTTCCATCCTCTTTTGGCCTCCTACTCTTTTTTGGCCTTTTTTTTCTTGCTGACCCCCCCCTCCTTTTCCACCTCCCACCCTTGTTCAGCCTCCCATTCCTTTTCGTCCTCTGCTTTTTTGTTGACCTCCCATCCCTTTTTGGTTTCTGCTTTCTGATGGCTTCCCATCCCTTTATCGATCTTCCACCCTTTTTTAGCCTCTTTTTTTTTTTTTTTTTCCATCTCTACCCGTTTTTGGCCTCTACTTTCTTGTCACCCTCCCTGCCCTTCTCAACCTCCCACTTTCTTTTTGTTCCCCCACCCTTTCTTAGCCTCCTCTTTCAGTCTCTTATCCCTTTTTGGTCCTCCCACCTTTTGTCAGCCTCCACCTCTTTTTGGCCTTTAATTTCCTGTCGGCTTCCCAGCCTTTTTTTCTGCCTCTCACCCCTTTCCAGCCTCCCGCCCTTTTTGGGCTGCTTCTTTCTTGTCCTCTTGCCCCCTTTTGGCAATTGCCTGTCTGGCTCACTCAGCGTTCCTGCTTGGGCGCTCAGGAACGGCTCGGCTGGCAGCTGGCACACTGCAGCATGAGGCAGCAGCGCTCCACGCAGCGAGCTCTGCAAGGCTGCTACATGGCGCCTTTGTTAAATTTGTCACTAAAATCAATAAGCAATCCTCCGGTGGTGCAGCTCGCCGCAGCTCTTCAAGGAGCTCCGGACTAACCCTTCCCCAGATAAATCCTGGGCACTGCTTGTTGGACTTTCCCAGACGGCCCCGCTGTCAGGGAGCTGGCGTCCATGCATGGCCATGGAGACTTTGGTATTTCTCTCAGCTGTGGTTTCTCGCATTCCTTCTGTCCCTTGAGGTGGAAGAGCTCCCTAGCTCTAGATGCAAGGTGGTTGTCTCCCATTGTCGGATCAGGCAATAAACACATTCCCCAGTAAATCCTGCTGGAGAAATCCAGCTGTTCCCCAGCGGCCCCTTTTTCCTTCTCCCTTGCCGCCAGTCATGCTCGGTCTGCGTGCTGAAACCACAGATAACCTGGGAAGTGTTCCTGGGTGTGTCATCTTCTCCACGCGGACCACCGCCGGCAAGGGCC